GTACTACCCCAAACAATATTGTCATAAGATAAATAATTATTTATACATGCAAAATATAGTTGAGTTAATTTAGATTTGTATAAGACTTGTCTGGTTTTAAATAAAATGCCAATATTTCTTGAGATTTTGTTGCTAATATGTTTAATATGATCTCATCAAGGATAAGTTTTAATCTATTAAAATACTAGTAATTTATTTGTGAATGAGCGCTCAATTTTGATGTTATTTATATATAACGGGTGATGCGTAATTAGTGACACAAAAGTTAACTTAGTTTTGCTCGTAATATAATCTTTTTCATTAAACCATATAAATTTATTTTGGTAAATTGAATATTCTAGTTTTATTAAAAAAAAAAGTTATCCAAAAAAAATGTTAAACGGCCAAGAAAGAGCAGCTCTTCAAAAAAGCGTCAAAAATTTTTTTGTAAAAAACCCATAAAGCGACCAAAGCCGAAGCCCCTAACTATTTTATTAAAGAAGGAATCGCTCGCCAAACAGCATATAGATATATCAATCGACAGCTTGATGGACAATGTTTAAAAATAAAAAAAAATTCTGGTCGCCCGTCATCGTGGACTCAAGAAAAAAAAGCGAAACTTAAAAGGTTGACCAACAATCGAAAAGGTGTAAGTCAAAGAAAGCTCACACGTTAATTCAACGTAAATCAAGCAACAATTTGTAGACAGTTAGCCAAAATGAACATAAAATATCGGAAACGCGAAAAAACACCAAAATAAAATGATAACCAACGTCTAAGGGGCACAAAAAAGAAGTCGAAAACTCGTCAATCACCTCTACAAAGAACAAAGCGTCTCAATTTTGGACGACGAAAAATACTTTTGTTTTGCTGGCGATGAAATGCCTGGAAACGCCGGTTATTACACGAACGACAAAGAAAAATGTCCAGAAAATGTTCGTTTTGTGGAAAAGAGAAATTTCCGAAAAAAATTTTCGTTTGGATCGCATTATCTGAGCGTGGAATGTCGAAACCACTCTTCCAACAACTGATTCGGCGTATCGAAGCCTGTCTAAAAAAAAATTGATTTGACATTTTTACAATCCCTTATAAAGGGTATCAAAACTAAATTGAGATTAATAGCCGATCAAGGCGTTCAATCAATTTACAAAAAATAATTTTTAAAAAATAAATATTGTGTTATTATTTTTTAAAAATGAAATTTTTTTTTTCTTTTATTTCTTTAAAAATATAAGGCTTTGATTTTTGTGTCACTAATTATGCATCACCCGTTAACATTGGAAAGAATTTTGGAATATATTGAAACTTTCGTATAGAATGGAATAGGAAAACTTAGTTTTATCAGTGTTTAAAGATAGGCTGTTAGCAATGAGCCAGTTTGATATTTGTTCTAGTTCATTATTTGCTACTTGAAATAGAAAGATAATGTTACTGTGAGAATAAAATAAAGTGGTGATGTCTGCGAACATAATAGTAGACATAGTATTTAATGCTATATATAGATCGTTGACATAGATTAAGAATAGCAGCGGACCTAAGATGAAGCCTCGTGGAACCCCACATGATATTTTAAGTTTGCTTGTCTAAAAGCAGTCATTTAGTGAAATAAATTGCTTTCAATCAGTAAAGTAACTGGTAAACCATTTATGGTATTTGTGGCTTATTCCATAATATTTTAGTTTTTCTAATAAAATCTGATGGTTAACGGTGTCAAATGCTTTTGACAAGTCGAGGAATATACCTAAAGTGAATTTATTATGAGAAGATTCTCCACTGATAACTTCGACAAGTTGCATAAGTGCATGTTCGGTAGAGTAAATTGTTCGAAAACCATATTAGTTATAATAAAGAAAATTTTTATTATTCAAAAATGCAAATATCCATTTGAGGGTTTTTGAAAAAACAGGTAACACTGATATAGGTCAATAATTTGTAACCAGACTTTCATCTCATGATTTAAAAATAAGTGTAATAATTGCAACTTTCACTTTATCTGGAAAAACACCTGTTTTAAGCGATTTGTTAAAAATATCTAATAAAACACTATATTAAGTTCATAGCAGTCTTTGATTATGCTTGCTGAAATAGAATTATAGCCTGTTGCTTTATTTATGTTTAATTTTTTTTATTGAGTCATCAATTTCTTTACTAGTGAGTTTTTTAAATGCTTTTATCCGATTTCGATAGATAATTCAAGAAATGTGCATGAGCGTGTTTAATTTTACTGACTAAGTTTGGACTAATATTTACGAAAAACTCATTAAATTTTGTTGCCACCAATTTTACATCAGAGATCTGTGTGCCATCTACGGTAATCACGCTTGGAAAGACTTTGTTGTGTATTTTTTGTTCTAGAATCTTTTTAAAAGCATCTTACGTTTTTTTCTAGTTACCTTTTAGTTTTAACAGCTAGTCTTTGAAGTATGTAGTTCTGGCTATTTTTTTAGTTCTTTCATATAGACGTTTGTGCTCTAAGTAATTATGCTTGTCACAATCTTTCTTCGATTTAGTAAAGCGTATATATAGCTAGTAAACCAAGGAAGTCTTTTAGTTTTAATCCGGTTTGTTTTATTAGGAAAATGCTTATCATACAAATTGAAAAATTATGTAGGAAAAGGTTGTAGCTGTTATTAGTACATGTCTCGAGAAAAACAAAGTTCCAATTTACGGTCGATAGCTCTAGTTTAAACATATTTTTTGCTCGGGTTGTAAAGATTCTTCTTTTGAAGTACCAGTCCTTTTTTAGTATATCTTTTGGTTTTTTGAAAATTGCAAAGATTGGGAAATGGTCGGTTATGTCACTTTCAATGATGCCTGATTTAAATGAGGAATGGAAGAGTGTGTTTGTTAAAATATTGTCGATTGCAGAACAAGAATTTTGTGTTATTCTTCTTGGTTTCTTTATCATAGGCATCATTTAAACTCATTAAAGCGATCATAAAAGTGTTGTACTTTATTATTTTCATCATATTTTAAATAGTCAACGTTATAATCTCCAACGAATAAAAATGAGCGGTCTTTATGTTTTTTTGCGTGCTATTTCAAAATAATCATTCAAGTGATTTTTAAAGTTATTTAAACATCTGTTTGGTGGTCGGTATGTAGTTGTTACAATAATATTTTTAGATGACTTTTTGTAAATTTCTCAAGTGAAAAATTTAAAATCCGGTTCAGAGAACGACAGGTCATATCTAATTTTATAAATAAATTTTTGATGACGTTACTTAATTAGTGTATATGCGAAAAAAAAAAAAAAAAAAAAAAAAAAAAAAAAATATATATATATATATATATATATATATAATTATATATATATATATATATATATATATATATATATATATATATATATATATATATATATATATATATATATATATATATATATATATATATATATATATATATATATATATATATAATATATATATATATATATATATATATATATATATATATATATATATATATATATAATTATAATTATATATATATAAATATATATATATATAACATATATATATATATATATATAACATATATACAATATATAAAAATATATAACATATAATAAACAAATAACATATATATAATATATACAAATATATAACATATAATAAACAAATAACATATATATTATTTATACAAAACGAGCGTTGATTATCCCGTCTTTAAAAATTCTTTAGACCAACATTTTCTTCGGGATTTTACATCTGCCATCCCTCTATTTATTAGCAATCAGTAGCGAGACGGGGGCCTAAGAGGTTTGCCTTGGCGCAAACGATTATAGGGGCGCCAAAAAAAAAGGAGCAAAAAAAAAAAAAAGCTCGGTTTTTTATTCTCTTTTAGTAAAGAGGCGATTTTGGCCGCGGGCGGTAATAAGCCTCGCTACGCCTCTGCAACTATTTTACTTTCCTTTTATAAAAAACAATATCAAAACAATTTTACTTTGATTAAAAAAAAAAATAACCAACTGAAGAATTATAAAAGTTTGACTGCTTATAAAAAATATTTTAAATATTTTTTCTATAATAGAATCAATTAAACATTCTACAATAAAAGCGTTTATATTTTATGTTACAATTATTTTTATCAGAACATTTAATTGTGCATTTTTATACAGGCAAAAATTTCTGCACTGCATACCTGTGTTTGAGAGAAAAGAAAAATGTCTTTTTTTAATTAACTCTTTAAATACTTTGTATTATAATTATGTAATATTTATATTTATATTTATAATACTAAAATTCTGCTTAACTAAACACAAAATAATTGTTGTAATAATACTATAAAATCAACAAGTTTTTCACCATTCATATAGTAAAAATGACTTCTTAAGCACTACAAAAAAAAAAGTGACTTTACGCACAAAAAAAAACACATTATATAAGCAAAAAAAGTCTCTAAATTAACTAAATTTGGCAGGTTCTAAAAAAAAAGTGTATAAACAGTTGCAAATAGTTTTTGACCATGAACTGACATTCCTTGGGTGAATGCTTGATCTAATCATCATTGTCAGTTACTCACAGCTAATCATTGATAAAGATAACTTGTTTTAATGTTAACACAATAATTAAAAAAATAAATAACTTAAATTCAAAGGTAAAAGAGAAAAATAAAAAAATTTATTGTAATAGATATCTCGTGTGGTTTGATTTTACCTCTCACACTTTCTGTTCATATGTTTTTGTACACTATATTGTTATAATATCATTAGTGACTATTAATGACTTTAGTATGCCTTTCATTTTTGAAGTAAGCAGAATCTCCAGGTTCTACTTAGCTTAAAGCAACATAAGTGTTGCTATTGTTAATAATGATTGTGATGATGCTGCTGATAATGATGGTGATGATAATGATGATGATGATGATGATGATGATGATGATGATGATAATGATGATGATGATGATGATGATGATGATGATGATGATGATGATGATGATGATGATGATGATGATGATGATGATGATGATGATAATGATGATGATTAAAGTTTTCATAATTTCTACTTTGTTTTTAGTGTTTTAATCATGAGGATGTTTTGAAAGGTACACACGTTTCAAATATTGAATTTGATAACTTTAATTTCAATTATGTCAATGTATTCATCATTCTGCAGCTGATAAAAAAAAAATGCATTAAAAATGTGTTCAGTGTTCAGTCTTCTAGTTTAACACCACAGTTTTTTATAAATGAAATTTTAAGAAACTTTGGAAATGAAACACACATAACACTGGAAGGCTTGAAAAATCTTTTGAAGAAATTGAAAATCGGAAACGTAGCTGGTGTTGATATTCACAGTAGAAAAAAGAGATCAATACCAAAAATATATCTACCATTCAAAAAACGCAGGAGAAGGAGTTTGTCCTTTCAAAAAGTAAATTTAATTTTTTCTATAATAATTAGTAATTTTAACACACATTTAAACTGAATATGGTTTGTAAAACATTAAACTAATTTTGTTTTATTATTATTATTGTATTTGACATATATTATTTTAATATTGATTTAAGGCGTTTGTACTTTAAAAAGATATATAAAGTAATAACAAATCATATATATATATATTATATATATATATATATATATATATATATATATATATATATATATATATATATATATATATATATATATTTATATATATATATATATATATATGACAATCTTCTAACTTTATCATTATACCATTCGTCAATAGCAGTATCAGGTTCAAATTTGTCAATCTCAGGACCTTCTTTGCTTATCCGAAGTAGAGATTCTAAACGATATCGTCTAAGACAACTTTTCCAGTCATTTTTTACGCGATTCATACATGAAAACATTCTACTTTGCATTTGTAAAAGGACAAATTAAAAATAGTTCAAAAATATCAAGAATATTTCGGCATTCTTTGACCAAACTTGATTTGGAAAAAACAATTTCCCAAATTTTCAAATAATACTTATTTCGATTGTTACTTATGATGGGAAACATGTATGCTTTTAAAATGATCTACTCATGAAGTATATTATTCAAATCACATCCTATGCCAATTAAAAAATTCAGAAAAATGTTCAACAACTGAAATCTGTAAGAAAAGAAATCTGTAGAATTTATGATGTTTGTAATCACAGTCGTATATTGAATAAGATTGTGTTGTGTCTCTATTAAGTAATTTATAACTTACTAAAAAGATAGAAAAAATTATTTTCAGCTCGAGGGGTGATCTTTTTTGACAGTTTACATTAAAAAAAAATAGATTTTATGTTTATAAATATAATTTCTCCACTCATGGTAATATGGGGAATAAAAAATTCTAAATTTTTTTTTAGTCATACCCTAATATATATATATATATATATATATATATATATATATATATATATATATATATATATATATATATATATATATATATATATATATATATATATATATATATATATATATATATATATATATATATATATATTAGGGGTAGTATAATATATAATATTTTATATATATTATATTACCCCTAATTATATATAATATTTATATATAATTAGGGGTATTATAATTATATATAAATATTATATATATTTATATATAATATTTATATATAATTAGGGGTCCTTTATATATAATATATACATGGACAATTCCAGGAAAAAAATTTGGGCAGCGGTACCCCTATGTTCTGGCAACCTTTAGCGGAAAACCAGCATTTTTTTTAAAAAAAACAACAAAATTTGCTGTAAAAAATGTAAAAAAAAAAATTTATAAAAAAAAAGGTCCTCAATATTTAATTTAAGGAGCACCCAAGTACGGTCGACGCTATCAAAAATGGTCTAGAATAGCCCCTGATATATATATATATATATATATATATATATATATATATATATATATATATATATATATATATATATAGTAGCATCCAAAAGTTTGCAGACAGGCAAAAAAATAAAGAATTTAACTTGTATTTCAACGCAAACTTCACTTAAGCCAACATATTATATAATAATTAAAAAGTTTTCAAGTTTACAATTAGGTTTTGAACAAATTATGATTATCTAATTAATATTTTTAAATTGGTATATAAATCAACGGTTTTTAATAAGTTCAAAAATTTGCGGACAAGGCATTATTTTTTTAAATAGTATAAATATTTCAATAATATTTGATCAAAGTTTATGCAAAAGCAAAATCATATTAGTATTTTGTAGGATATCCTTTACAATCAAGAATAGCTTGGCATCTATGAGGCATAGAGTCAACTAAATTAATGCAAACGTCAATGGAAAATAAGTCTCATATTTCTTTAATTTTATTAAATAAATCAGCATAATTTGTAGGCTTGATTTCTTTTATTTGACGGTCAACATGTTCCCATAGATGTTCAATGAGATTTAAGTCAGGTGATTGGGACTTATATCCTGAGCTTTATATCCTGATAACGTGTTGTTTTGCATTATTTAAGCTTTTTATCCTGATAACGCATTGTTTTGCGTGGCCTTTCTGATTGATTTTTATTCTTTATAGATCTAGTAAGCTCATATCTCTTCATAATTTATCCAACAGCAGACTTACCAACTCCATATAGCTGTGCTGTTTTATAAAACATGTTTCTATTTTGAGCTGATCTCAAGATCAATTTTTTTACTGGAGATGAAATACATTTCTTAGATCTTATGATCTCATGATCTCAATCACTGATATATTAAGTTTTTAAATTATTTCCACAAAGTATTTGTTTATAAAATCAACAAATTAGCTATTTTGTGGTGAAAATGTTAAAAGCTTTAGTTTGTCGGCAAACTTTTGAACTTATATATATATATACACACACACACACTTGTATAAATCAGGGTTGGGCAGTAAGGTGTGCAAAGTCATAATATGACCCCGCAAATACTCTTTGGTTTTGAAAACTTTGCCATGACTGTAAATATGTTTTGAAAATTTGTATACATTTTAAAAAGACGCTAAGAATTCATCTTAACTTAACTATAAAGTAATTAACTTAACTTAAAAAAAAAATAATCATAAAAGAAGCAAATAAATCTTTGTAAAAAAATTACAAAAAAGAAATAAATATAACTTAGCTAAAACTAAAATAAAAAACTAAAATTAAAACTAAAATAAATAATAAAACTTTACTAAAATAAATAACTATAATGATCATCTAAATTTACGTTTGAAATAAATAACTTTAAATTGTTAATTTTTACTAATGATTTTATAATATTAAATTATGTGAAACCCTTTTTAAATAAAGTAACAACTTACATCTAACGATTGTTTAATAAATGCGTGCATTTAAAAGTTAAAAAAAGATTCTAAACAATTCTTCGCAATAACATAAAGAAAAGAAAAAATAATTAAATCTTTTTAAAAATTTCGAAAGTTAATATAATTTTGTTTTTAGTTTAAAGGCATTTACAATAGAAAATATATACTTATATAAATATAAAAAAATATGTATGTTATTCATTAATAATTTTATAAGAAATCATTAACAGTGATTTGTTACTTTATTGAAATGTTTTGTTAATAAAAAAACATTAGTAAAGATCAAAGTTATTTAATTTAAACGGCTTTCAAAAATGTGTCTTTTTTTCCTTCTCAACAAAATCTTTCTACTTTTTGAGTAAATTAACTCTAACTATTCTTATATACAGTTTATTAAAGATATCATTGCTGTTTAAAGTCGTCACTTATAAAATTAATAAATTTTTTTTAAAGTTTTTATTTTATAAATTTTTTTAATATAATTTAATAATATGTATATATATTTTAATAATATATATATATTTTTATATAATATAATATTACTTTATGTATATTTAATAATAAAACCCTCCGTTGGGCGCGCTTGATCAAATTGATACATGTCAATCAATTATTTTTTTTTAATTTTTTTGAGTAATGACTCAAATTTCTCTTTTTTAGTAGCTTTATTTTTTTTCTTCTTTTATTGTTCTACATCATCAAACATGATTAAATCACTTTATATGAATTGATTTTTTATCATTTTGTTCAAATTGATACACTGCGCCCTTTTATGTTACATTTTATAAGTTTGATTATAATAAAAAATATTATATCTGGTAAATACATTTTTAAATTTGTAGACATAATTTGATGTTATTTATTATTCAATTCAATGGGAATGTATTTTTTTTTTTTATATAATTAGCTTTTTAGAATAGTCGCTCAAAATTTGTATCAATTTGATCAATGCACCTTTTTTATTGAAAATTGCAATTGTGATGAAATTTTTAATTATTTTAAATATTTTATATTTGTTCAAAGATTATTTAAGCAGTTATAAAAAAAAAATATATATATATATAATATATATAATATATATATATATATATATATATATATATATATATATATATATATATATATATATATATATATATATATATATATATATTATGTATATTATATATATCAGCGCTCGAAATAACGGCTGATCAACGATCAATGATCAGCTATTTTTAAAGAAAATTTCAAAAAATTCATGGGAAAATAACCTGTTTTTGTGAATAAATTGCATTTGATTGGCATATATATATATATATATATATATATATATATATATATATATATATATATATATATATATATATATATATATATATATATATATATATATATATATATATATATATATATATATATATATATATATATATATATATATATATATATGTAAGTATATAAATTTACTTGAGTTTTATAATTTTCCCTAACAACACTGTACCTTATTAACTAAATAAATTGTAAGCTTTTCCCATAATAAGTTCTATATAACTTTTAAATGAAGAATTTAAGATATAGAACAGGGTGTGTTGAAATTAAAATTTGAAACTTGGTGTTATTATTCTGTAGAATATTCTCAGTTTAAATAGTTAATTTTAATACACATCTAAAGTGGTTATGGCATGTAACTCTTAGCATATTTTGAACCATTGGTAAGGAAAGAGGTGTGATCTTCTTAGATACACAATCTTTTGCAGTGTTCTGTAACAAGACCATTAGGTTCTATTTGGTGTACCAAAACAAAAAAAAACAAAAAGACAGAAAAATTAAGAATAAAAACCGTATTAAACATTGAAGAAATAAAAACAAACATTTTGCATTAAAAAAAAAATTCTAATCAAATAAGTTTGCGTTTTTGCGTTAATTTAAAAAACAGTTATTTTGTAATTAATTTAAAGGTTTTAACTTTTAAGTCAAAAGTCAAAAGAAATTAAGAAACAAAATTTGTTTTTTATATATCCAGGCTTGGTCGGGAAGCGGAAGCCATCGCTCTCGATTGCTGACCATGTAAATAATATTTAGTTGCGAAAAGCTGGCCAGATTTTTCAGTCGTTTTGAGAACATTTTAAAAAGCAAAAAAAAAAAAGCGACTAAGATTAGTTGGACCGATGAGAGACAATTACAATTAAAAAAATAGACAAATAAAATATCTATAAACGCGAAAAAACTTAAAGCTAAATAAATTACATTTAGAAAAAATATTTTTGAAACATCGCTCTTTTATAATTTTTTATAACTCTTTTATAATTACTTTGTATGCGTTGTTTGTGTTTATTAACCAGAAACTTCTTATATGTTTGTTACATAATTAGTTTTATTAACTTTAACGATTATAACTTCATTGAAAACGCAATTATTTTTGTAAGTCTTTGTTTAAATCATAAAAATTGCTTTAAAAGATACATTACGATAAAGAACAAATACACAAAATTACATTTACATAAAGAATACAATCTCTTTTAAAATAAAAAAATTAGTATATACTAATAAAGTCTATGATTTATAATATACTTTTAAAATTTTAACAATTAATTAATACATATTTAAAACATTTATTTTCGTAAACAAATAATATATATTCTTAAAACAATGCTAGAAATCTCAAAATGTAACAAATCGTGAGTAATAATACAATTTCTAAAACATTTTAACAGAATACCCTAGAACTTTATTTCGCTTAATCAGCGTATTTTTTGAACCAATAGAATTAATTTGTTTGTTAATTTGGCTGGTTTTTAGTGTTCGCAAATATTTTTTTTTTCTTTCGCACAAAGATGTTTAGAGAACATTCAAGTTTTTTATGTTTCCATGTATGTCCGTATAGCAAAAATTTTTTGTTTCGTCCATAAACTTGAATCTCAAAACGACTAAAAAACCTGGCCAGTTTTACGCAACTAAATATAATTTCCGTGGTCAGTATTCAAGAGCGGTTGCTCCCGCTTCCCGACCAAGCCTGTATATCCACATTTATATATATATATATATATATATATATATATATATATATATATATATATATATATATATATATATATATATATATATATATATATATATATATATATATATATATATATATATATATATATATATATATATATATATATATATATATATATATATATATAAATGTGGGGATTTTCATTTCTGTGTGTATTTTTATTTCTGTGTGTATTTTTTTATTTTTCTTTGTTTTAGCAATTAAATGCTGGTTCTTTTATATAAGTCTTGTTTATATTAAAAGCTGGGGCACACACACACACACACACACATATATATATATATATATATATATATATATATATAATATATATATATATATATATATATATATATATATATATATATATATATAAATTTGATACAGCATTTTAACGAAATTAGGAGTTTGTCAAAGTATTTCCCAATCATTCCCCCTCCCCTCCGCTGAGATTAAAGTGTGGTCCATGAATGCGTGCGGTCTTTTTCTTATATTCTTTTTTTTTTTTCTACTCCACTGCAGCGCTGCATACATTGATTGGACAGCGCCAAAAGTAAAGTAAATTACCTTTTGTAACATTGATGAATATGAAATTAATACAAAATTAAATGTGGTTTCATAACGACACGGTAAATTAAGCTCCGATTTCCAAACGTATATTAGGAATTATATATTATAGAATAATTAGTGTAAATTAACTAATTATTATTAAGAATTATATAGTCGATTTATTTTTAATCATAATATATCGTTGCCGCTTTTATTTCAAGATTATTCTTTTAAATGTATTTTTTTTCACTGTAGTAATATAGCAATTAATGTTCAATAAAAATCTCCACAGAAGAAAGCCAATGATCCTCTACCCCTAATTATAATTTAAATTTGACGTACTTTATGGACGAACCCTTACATCATCATGTCATTGTGTTACATCATCATGTAGTTGTGTAATTGTGTCATCAAATGAAATGTTTTAAAAATAGAAAATGTTTAAAAATAGTGAACAGGAGCATGTAAATTTTATATTTCATATTTATTGCGAGTTTTATAATAATAGTTTTTATTTAAATAATTTGCATAGCAAAATAAAGTTATAATTACTCTCTCAGCAAAAACAACAACAAATGTTGTTTATTATTAATTATAGAAGAATATTGATCGCAAGCGATTGCACGTGCGGCAATGAAGAATATTAATAGTTATTTTTTCATTCATAGTTATAAAATGTTATGACTATGTTTATTCAAAATGTTACATTTTAAATTCAACCAATTGGTGAATCTTGTTTTCTGCTATTTAAACTTCTAGTACCAGTTTGTTGTAATAAAATATTTTTTTTTGTTATTAAACGTATTTAATTTACATTTTAATATACGTATTTACATTTTAGACACAAGCAAGCAGTAAAGTAAAGAAATCTATTTTCCTTGTTAAATAAATTTGTAGAACCAGTTTGTTATAATCATAAAACATTTTTTGTATTTAACTTATATTTCAGATTTGGTTTTTAAAAAAAAGTAAGTGAATTGATGGTAGTAAAAAAAGATTTTAGTCGATGTGATCACCTAATTCAGTTGATATAAAATACCAAACAAAAAAATGAAAAACAATAATTAAAAAACTTAGTGATCATCCATAAATTATGTAACGCAAACTTTCATAATAAACAAAACAAAAAAGATCAAATGTTTTCACTCGCAGGGTCTTATTTTTGATATAAAATCAAAATAGCCCATTCAGTTTAATGAAAATCAAATATCTTATTATATCTGGCTACTTTTTTTTGAATATATTTTGCGTTGCGTAATTTATAGATGACCCCTTACTGTAATATCCACAATTGATCAAAATTTCCAAAGTATCTGGCATTAACGACTTCTCAATGTTTTTGTGGGCCATGTACATGTAAAACTTGAAGTTGAATTTGCAGTGAGACTTGATAAGTTATTTAACCTTTCAGAAAAAAATGGCAAAAATTTTAAAGAAAGAACATTTGCGGGTGTTAAATCAAACTAATTTGTTATTATTTTAGATTGTTTAGAATAGTGCTTTATTTCTTGCTAACTTTTTTATATAATATTTGCTGATGCTGGAATGCATTGGAAAAAACCCTTAGCAAATTATAAGAATTTAATTTTACTAACAAGTTGCATAGAAAATCCCAAAAATTATTTGGAAAATCCCAATTCTCAAGAAGTTTTGTCAATGAGACATATTCACAGTTATGCAATCGTGTAGATATACCAATAATGGCGATTTTATTTTAAGTTTTTACGCAAATAATGAATTAGAATTTTTTATTTTATTTTTCTATTAGTTTTTAATAATAATTAATTGTCATTAATTTTGAGAAATATTACTTTTTGGTGAATGCGATTTTTCTAACTTTAAATTGGAAATTTTAATTTTATGAACATTTATGAATACCGCGTTTGACGGGGTGCCACAGGACTAGTTTACACCCTGATATATATATATATATATATATATATATATATATATATATATATATATATATACATATATATATAAGTATATATATATATATATATATATATATATATATATATATATATATATATATATATATATATATATATATATATTTACATATTTATATATATATATTTACATATTTATATATATATATATAAATATATATATATATATATATATATATATATATATATATATATATATATATATATATATATATATATATATATATATATATATATATATATGGTCATATTATGACATGAAATTGCACACCTTACTGGCCAACCCTGATTTATGTGTGTGTGTGTGTGTGTGTCTATATATATATATATATATATATATATATATATATATATATATATATATATATATATATATATATATATATATACACACACACACGTATAAATCAGGGTTGGCCAGTAAGGTGTGCAATTTCATGTCATAATATGGCCATGCAAACACTATTTGGTTTTGAAAACTTGACCATGGCTTTTAAAATGTTTTGAAAATTTGTATACATTTTAAAAATACGCTGAAAAAAATTAATTCAAATATGAACTTAAAGTTAAAACTTAACTAAAATAAATAATTATAACGATTATCTAAATTATGTTTGGAATACATAAATATGTATTGTTTATTTTTACTAATGTTTTTATAATTTGTAGAAAATTCTCATAAGGGCCAGTTTAGATAGTTGTAGGGCCAATTAAAGCAGAGGTGTTTTTGTTTTTAAAAAGCCAATAAGTTCTGGGCGTGCACAATAAAATATTATATCACTTAATATTAAGCCAATGTGATCAAAAAAATATATATTTTTGATCACATTAGCTTCTTAATGGCTCAAATATCTTTAAAGAAAAAATTGAGTTAAAAGTTAGTTTTATTATTGTAAGCTTTTATATTTTTAGTTACAGGATTTCAAACTTTCATTTCTTTTGTATTGTTTTATAAAATCTAAACATAACTTATGTACTACTTCATAATTTAATAAAATTGTTTTGAAGTTCGTGATAATTATTCTAATACTAACTTTACAGTGTTTCTCTGCAGAAGATATTCTTGAAATTTTCAATATTAATGAGACAAGTATTTCAAAAGAAAGTTTTCAACAGATATGTCCATCATTGATTCAGCAAGTTGTTAGTGGATATTGTGTGAATTCTATAGAAACATCACAAAACTCTGAAAGTACTTGGAAATGTAGGTTTAGTTTAGTACTATTTATAAACGAAAGTATTTTTTTTTGTTTCTCTTTTTCTAAATGTAACATCTTTATTTAGCAAGTGTTTTATGCCCTGACTTCAATATTTTTTACATGTCACATATAAGTGCTTGAAAAAGTAGTACAAATCCTTTTTTTAATTGCGACAAATGCTTTTTTCACCAAATAATTTAATAAAAAATTGTATAAACATAAAGCCCTTGCATTATAATCAACAAAATAAAACAAAAAGTTGTTGATGTTTTACAATGTAAAAATTATTTTAGGTATTTTTGATTGCAAAATTATTAAAGAAGAAAATAAATATCGAAATCTTGTTATTTTTGTTTGAACTCCATTTTAAATTGTATTGGAGTATTAACAATGCCAAAATGCATGTGAAAGGTGTTCATGTTAGTGTTTTTGGTGTGTATTTTTGTTTGGATAGCAAGAATGAGGCTACTGCAAAGCTTTTTGCTTTGGGTGTCATACACTATCTATAACTGAATTGATTTCTATTAATTACAAACATGAAACAAAGTACTATTAAACAAAACAAGCCAATTTTTACCAAACTGTTTCAATCACTTTTTTACAAATATTTATAGCCTTTGAAGTAATTTTCATCAATTCAATTTTACCTCTCAGTGTGCTGTGCTGGCACAGCACACTGAGAATATCCTTCAATTTGCAAAGCAATAGTCACATGCATGATCTGGGGCATACTTACGTGTCTGCTCATCTAGTTGTAATGTGCTTTCTTTTTTCATGATTAGTGAACTAAGATTTTTACATAGTCATTTTTCCTTTTATTAGTCAAGAGTTCTCCTTTTTTAAATCTTTTTCGCTTCGTCTCTCAGTTAATACTGTTGTCATTGGTGGCGCTTATCATATTAAATAGCTTAGGTCTAGTACTATTGACACTACTAATTTTGTAGATATTTTTTATTGTGATTTAGACTATATGTTCAATCTAACTTATAAAGGATTAACTTGGAAACAATTTGAAATTTTCTGTTCTGAAGATATTTTACATGCTCTTAAAAAAACCTTAAAAAGTATTTCTTGCTATATTTACAAAAATGTGGAAATAGAAGAATGAAATGAAAATAGAAGAATGCATTTTTTTTTTTAAATTAACGATTGTTTGTTTACAATGTATTGAAAATTGGTATTTTTGAAAAAAATGGTTGCTGAGAAGATAAATGTCTAAATAAAGATGATTTGTGGGAATTCAAACCAAATATTGTTTGTTTTAACAGTATCATCTCAATGGTTACTTGAATTAACAGCAGAATAAATAAATATACAGAATAAACAAATATGCAAAATATGGGGCAACTCATAATGAGCTTCATTGTTCATTATAAGTTTGAAATAAACTCATTGCAAAGAATAACATGTGTAACATGTTATTCTTTGCAAAAATAGCATAAACATCATCAACTGCTTAAAATATTGCTTGTCAGAAATTTTGTGATTTTCTTGATAATACTTATTATCTGAACTGATAATACTTATTATCAGTTTACTATCAGTAAATATTCACATCATTTCAAACTGCTCTTAGTCTTCCAACACGTCTAAAAATGTTGAACTATTAAAGACCTTTTTTAATAATTATTTTTATTTATTACTATTTTTTTTTTTTTATCGTAATAATTATTAAACTTTAGAAGTTTAAATGATATATATACTGAATTTATTAAAAATTGAGTCTGTAAGCTGTAAAATTCACATCTCTAAAACTCACATCTGAAGCTCAGATCTGTAAAACTCACATCTCTAAAAATCACATCTGAAGCTGTAAAATTCACATCTCTAAAACTCACATCTGAAGCTCAGATCTGTAAAATTCACATCTCTAAAAATCACATCTGAAGCATCTTAAAAGGTTGGTGAAATGCATGGGTTAAAAGACATAATTTCATTCTGGCTAAAACCAGAGCAGAACTGAAAACAAGAAATACATAAAAGTTAAAAATATTGTTCAGCAAGTTGTTATCAGATACTTAGTTGCTCGCAATTACTTTTGTGATACAGTTTACTCAGAGTAATTTTACCAATTTGTATGCTACAAATATATATTGAAATATATATTAAAAATAAAGTATATTTAGACAGTGGCTTAAAAAAGAATAAATAAATTTTAATTTGGATTTTTCAAATCTAGATTTCAAAGTATTACCATAGCAAGCTTCTTTAATTTTTGAGACAAATCTTTTTTTTTTAATTATGAAATCTTTCAGATCTGACAAAAAAACTATAAAAATAAAATTTTGAAATCTGCAAACAAATGGGGTAAAATGATAATGAGTGTTAATAATTGTATTTGAGTTAATCCTAATCTTTCCTAATAAAATATTTAATTTATTTTTACTCATTAAAGAGTACCTATGAATGAACTGCAGGAAAGAATTTGTTTTTATTCTAGGTTGACAACTCCAGTGGCGTGCTGGCCCCAGAGACTATGCGGGAATCCCGCTTGGGCCTATCGTTATTTATTCTAGGGCTTCTTTTTGAATTTTTATACTCTTTACTACATTCTAAAAATGATTCACAAATGATATTTATATGCTTTATTTTTTATTCCACAAGTTAAATTCTTTAAGAAATCTCTGATTCGAACTGTTGGACTTCCAGCACTTATATATTAGTATTTTGTATGATAAAATGCAACCGTTTGTAACTTTTGCCTCAAAACAAAGTCGATATTGGATTTATATAAAATAATTGATCGTTATTGATTGGATTTATATAAAATAATTGATCGTTATGTCATTTAAATCGCTTATTATATCAGTCATTATATAGATAAAATTATTGAAGTTAGCCAGTGTTTATTATGAGAAATAATTGTGTTTAATTTTAATTTATGGAAAAAATATTTATATTGATAAAAATTTTGTTAAATTAGAACAATTAATTGTTTTTTCATAAACAAAAGTTGTAACATTTTTAAATATAAATAATTTGTGTGAGTTTTTATAAAATTGCTCTTATTGTTTGTACTATTTGTGCTATTTAAAAAGTAGTTAAAAAGTAGTTATTTGTGCTATTTAAAAAGTAGTTAAAAAGTAATATTTTTTCTAAGTATACAAATATATAAATAAAGCATTTTGTTTCTATTTGAAATTATTCCGGATTCATTCATTTCAGGGACCGCAAATATGTTGAAACTAATATTTAACATTATAAACTTTAGCAACCGTTTTTTTTTTTTCAAAGAACATAAAAACCGTATTTGTTGTAATTATAGATCTTATTTTTTTTTAAGACTTGACATCGAATAGAAAATTTTATAAATTGTACACATTCGATTTGAACTTAAAGTTGATAAGACCGAAAGAACTTCTTGGGGCACGAAAAAAAAAAAAAAAAATTGTTATACCAATTTGTTTGGATCGCTAATAAACATTTCCTCTTGTACTAACCCTTGTACTTAAATAGTTTTTTATCACTTCTCTACGGCTCAGGGTACATCATATAGCACACTTTTTTTTTGTATATATATATATATATATATATATATATATATATATATATATATATATATATATATATATATATATATATATATATATATATATATATATATATATATATATATATATATGTATATATATATATATATATATATATGTATATATATATATATATGTATATATATATATATATATATATATATATATATATATATATATATATATATATATATATATATATATATATATATATATATATATATATATATAGGCTTTGTTATGAGATTTTGTTGCATAACGGAAAAGGGTAATGTGAATAAATGTAACTTTATTAAATAAAGATATTTACATCGTTAAAAGTTAAATTGCGTCAGTTGCGTATTTTAAAATACCTCATTGTAATTAAATTCAAAAGCATATTAGAAATTATTTTAAGTCTTTTTAAAGAAATATCTTTAAATTAAGCAATATTGTTATAAAAAAAGTTATAAATTAAATAAAATGGTGATTAAAAAAAATTTCCTTATTTTAAAATCTTATACTTATTTAAATTTAATTTTTTTTCTTTAAAACATTCTTTTTATGGTTATTTTTTTTAAATGAGGGGACACTTGTTTATGGTTTATTTTTTAAGGGATTTAAGTGTACTTACTATGCAATTAGATTGGGTTTTCCCCTTTTTTAAAAAACCTTTGCGCTAATTGGCTTTTCATAAAATAAAAATTGTAATTAAACAAAGTTTACCGCTTTTTGGCTTTGTTTTTATTTCCATTAAAATATTTTATTTTCATGTACCGTAAAATCTATGGTATTTTTACTAATTCTTACTAAATTCAAAAAGAACTATTAGTTTTGTTTTTAAAATAAAATAAATATAAGTTGGGCGTTTAAAGAGCTTATTTATTGATCGCATTATTTTTATTCGGTTTAAAGTTTGGTTCGTTTTGTAAAAAAAATTCTTCTACATAAAATTTAAACTCATAACATTAAAACTCGAGTTTGATAGAACTTTTTTGTATTGACGTCATTTATTAACTACACAAGCGCATTATTCAGACCAGTATTTGGAACTGGAACTTACCTGAAACTTAACTGAAATTAAAATAAAGTTATATGTAATGCGAACATTTTAAAGTGACTTGAATTAAGTTTATTACATTTTTTTTTTTTTTTTTTTTACATAAATTTTGGAAATTTTATCAGTAAAAAAATTGTATAATGGAGCGTTTTGAAATTTTTAAAAGAATTTTATCAAATAACTTACTAAAACTATGAATAATAATGAAATTAATTTAAATTTAATCAAATAAATTAAATATATATTTTTTTTAAAAATGGAAAATAGAAAAACGGATATCCATCTGTTTTTTTATCTAATAAAAAAAAATATTTCACAAATGTTTTTTTACAATTAATTACACTTTAATGTTTTCCGCATAATCTGTTTTAAAACACTGTTTAAAATAAACTTATTGATAAAAGTTTTTACGTAACGTAAATTGCAAAACGCATACGTCAAATCGTGAATACGTACATAAAGTTCAAATAGGGAAACGCTTCTTAACAAGGCCTATATATATATATATATATATATATATATATATATATATATATATATATATATATATATATATATATATATATATATATATACTTTCTAAATTATAACGTTAATGTTTTTTAAGCAATAAAATAGATATCCTATTTGGTTACCATAAAAACTCTTTGAAATTTGTTTATTTTTTGGAATGAAAACATAAAGACTGCTTGCCGCAGTACGGTGCCATTTTTATTTCTAAGGAAATCCAATTATAACTGAGTATATTCAAATATATACATATATATTCAAATATATACAAATATGGGCCTTCAAATTAAGCATATTTGGCGAAATATATTTGGGATATATGGACTTTTTTGAAAAAATCCGCATATATGGGCCTTTTTGAAAAAATCCCGCATGTGCCTTTTGGAGCCAGCACGCCCCTGGGCAACTCTCAGATTTATAAAATTTATACAATAGTTTTATAAAAACCTTGCTGAATCCAGCCCATACATCATCCAGCCCATTCATCAGCACTAAAATACATGATTGTTCCACATTCAAATTGCCTCACAAGCACTTAAATTTGCTTAGAACTAACTCAGTTAATGAAAAATTATTTCTTAAATTATTTTTTTAAATATAAAATTTTTTAATCTAAATGTTAGAATTGATATCAGGTTAAGTAAAAATGTATAAAAAAAATAAATAAATGGATTCGTATTTATTTTTTTTCTTTCTCAGTTTTTTCTTCTCTCAAATTGAAGAAAAAGTAAGATAGTTTATTGTTTATTGTTTTTAAACAAATTCTTTTTTATAGAACATGTAACTAGAATTTAAATTAAAGAACATGTAATTTGAGTTTATAAGATTGTTGTAAGTTAGATCTATATATTTTTTTCTAGCATGGGTTGCAACATTTATAGCTATTTTTGTCATTAATGTGGGCTCATTAATTTGTTTGTTTGCTGCACCTATAATTAAAAAGAAGTGGTTTTCATTTCTTCTTTTGTTTGTAATCAGTATGGCTGTGGGAGTGTTATCAGGTGACGCAATTCTCCATCTTTTGCCTCATGTAAGCTTTTTTTTATAATATTCTTAATTTTTGTTATAGTTCAGTTATTAATTTTTTATTTGATTTTTTTAAATCTTAGTTTAACTAGTTCAATAGTAACCTATTACTTAATAGGGGGATATTAAGAATATTTATGTTTATTTACAATATATTTTCTATATTCAATATTTAGTATATTTATTCAAGTATAATACATTCAAAAGGTTAATTGAAATAATCACATACTAAAATTGCTATTTTGACCTCCCTAAATGATTTTAAAAAGTAAGGTTAGATAAACAATCAAATTTCATAAAATGATTTAAATTTTAAAATAATGTTAAAAATAGTTTTATTGTTTACAATACACTACTTAAATTGGTAGCGGGTAGCGGGTCATTAATTGGTAGCGGATCATTAATTGGTAGCGGGTCATTAATTGGTAGCAGGTCATTAAAGCAAAAAGATTAAAAGCTAAATAATGTTTAAACAAATTTTTTTTTATGATTCTTTTTTTATAACAATACTTTATAACAATATTTATCTTTGTTTTTAAAATGTTGCAATAAATTAAATTTTTGTTAATAATTAAAAACTAATAGTTTGGTAATAATTTTATATTATCAATTCTTAATATACATATTTAAATTATTAATACTTAAAATACATCTTCATATATATATATTAAATTTATAGTTGTTAAAATTTTTATCTAATAATTATTGCATGTTGACAGAAACCAGTAATTTTCCTGCTTTAACAGCCCTGAACTTATTAATTCCCTTCGTTGAATAATATTATACACAACATTAACTATCTATTAAGTTTTTTGCTTAATTTATTCAAATTACTTTCAATTTACTGGTGGTGAAAGTTCTTTTTTCATAAATGATTGAAGTTTTTTTTTTACTGTTATTTTAATAAAAATATTAAACAAATTATATTAATAATAGTATTAAAATATATTCTGTGTTTAATAGGTGTGTTCGGTTTCGCTTTCTAACCAGCTTTAGAAACTAGTTTCCTCTGAGTTGGAAAGTGTTCATGAATTAAAATGAATTAATGACATTAAATTTATAATAATAATATTAATTAAATTTGACATTACTTCCCAAGACTTTCTAATCACTTTCGTTTGGTCAAAAAAGAAAGTTAAACGATCTTTTTTCTTTAATTTTCTTTATTTGATTTCTTTTTTACAAATAGTTGGTTATATAGGGCTTCTTTTAGAACTATTTAAAATTAATGAAAATTTTAAGTTTCTTGATAAAAGGCTACTTCTTTATTTTCTTTGAATAAAGTTTGCTTTACTAAAAGCATATTCTACTACAACATAATATGCTGGTATAATGCAATACTTTTGAACTGCACTAGCTAACATAGGCAAACTTGATAAATTTTTTTCAAAATTGACTAAAACTTAAAGGACTTAAAGAAGTTTTATTTCTATAAAAGTTCATTTCTCCCGGTATACGTTTATCTTTTGCATTTCTTGGAGTTGCTTGTGAGAATTTGTGACAATTAAGTCTAAACTGCCAGCCAGCTTGTCTGCTGCGAATTGTATTGTTAAGCTTTTTGCTAGATTATGTCTGAAATTGTTTTGTTGGTTAATTTGCAAAGGAGTTAATTTTTAAAGATGCTGACTAACTCCTTTTCTTTTAATTTCTTCTGCACTTAACCATTTTAAATTAAGTAGGTCTAAATAAATTGCTTTTAATATGATTTTTTTTAACATCTGCAGTGACCTATCCGAAAGTTTTTTAGGCATACCAGTCTATAAATCCTGTATGCATTAAGAGGATTTTTATTATTGCTAGATTTTTATTTCTTTATTGTTTTTTGAGAAGCAATAAGGAAATAAATTTGGGTACTCATTGGAGATCTCCTACGAGTACTCTTTGCGGGTACTCATAAGAGATGTGTTAACTATAGCATTTAATAAACGATATTTGTATGTTTCTTTTATATAAACTAAAAAGATTTATTACATAGCATATTTATTGCATAACAAGGTAAATTCAAGTTTAATTAATTCATTCAAAAGTTTTTTTGTTGTTGTTCCTATTTTACTTTACTCTTTTTTAATCCAATCAAAACGTGCATTTTACATTTTAATCTAATTGTAAGATATTCCATATTTCATTCACGTGAATTCGAATTAAGCATACTGATTGACTTAAAATACATTTGTAATCTGTTTTATAAGTCATTTTTCAAATGTTGGTTTTTCTTAACGACATAAATAACAAATTTGTATTTATCATAACTAATTTTATCATCATAATTATCAACTAATTTTATCACAAAACAACAAGACAATAAGTAATAAAGACTTGTTTTATTTTAATTTTTTATGATAAACTTGGTGCAAATATAAAATTGTTTTAAATTGAGTTTGGGGGCCCATACCAGTATACTGGTTATCAAAATTGGCCTCGATATGTTGCTTATCTGTAGTCTTGATAACTAAATGATGGCTCAAGTTGCTAAATAGGAATTCTTTTATTGGTTTTTCCTTAAAATCACCAGATTTAGTTTCAAGACAAAATGAAACAAAGTTCTTTTGGCAACAAAAGATAATGATTAAGTCTCTTAAAATCTTCCCAATAACATTTTTTAAAGTTACATTTTCAAAACTTGTTCAAAATGGTTCAAGAAGTTTGATTAAAATATCAACAAGTGCCATTTGTCCATAAGTTCTAACTTTTTCAACTTTTCTATTTGTTTTTTAGTTGTTTCTTTTGAATTTCCTGTGATGATAATATGATGAAAGGCGGTATCTTTTAACTTCACATGTCAATTGAGCTTTTAATATGTAGAATTCTTCTTCCTTTTCTTCTTTTTCTTCTTCTTCTTCTTCTTCTTCTTCTTCTTCTTCTTCTTCTTCTTCTTCTTCTTTATCATCATCTAAATTTGCATCTTCTAAAATTTCATTCAGTTCTAAATCTCGTTATCTGACTTAGTATCATACTCTTTTTCTAATTCTAAATTTATCTATTTCAGATTCAGATTCTAATTCATCTATTTTGTCTGTTTCTTCATTTTTTAGCTTTACTAATGGTTGTACAGTTAAATTTTTGACAGAAACAAGAAAAGACAGAAACAAGAGAATCTTATTCTGTCTATTGAGCTTTCACAATGTTGGATGCATAATTTGCAGTCACTGCAACTATTTTATTGAGTATCATCAGCTTAGTCATTTCATTTTTAATGAAACTTTTTAGATTAGCAGACAAATATCTAGCAAAATACTTTTGAAAACCAATCATGAAAGTTACATAGTTAAAGTCACCGTCAAAGAAATAAAGCATTAGTCCTAAAAAATGTGTAAGAGGCATATAGCCTTTTTTTTTAAAAAAGTTCCAAATGGCCAGCAGTCTTCAATCAGGCAGTTAAATATTGAGGTATTGATTGGAATTTCTTTTCACTTATTTTCTTTTGTGAAGAATACATGTATTCTTTCATGTTGGGTGTTTTGGATCCCAAATGCTTTTTTTGTTGAGTTTTGGCGTCGTTATGATGCTCTGATTTCTTGCTTACAGTTTAATATGCAGCATTCATATATACTAACAGATTTTTCAGCTATGAAAAACTTGAACATGCCACTACTTGATGGGACTTTTGATATCTTAGAGTCAACATCAGATGTAACATCAGAATCTAGCTCTTGAGTCTTATTTCCTTCCTTTACTTCTTTGGCTTCTGTGTCTTTTTTTAATGCATATGGTGTGTTTGAGGCAGTTGTTGCAGTCTCTTGTGGTCTATATTTTCACATACCAAATCAATTTATAAATTTATATGAAAATTATATTTATATGAAAATATAAATTTTCATATAAATATTTTCATATACCAAATCACTAACACCATTATTAACACCATTATGCATATTATTAGTTTGTGTACTATGTTTTTCCCACTCTTTTAGAGCGCATTATTACAGTATCGTGTGCTGGTAACTTGCATCTAATTGACTCAATAGTTCAATATGGCAATTTTGAATTTTAAAATTATAGAACCCCCCAACTACTAACAAAAAAAATTTTTTTTTTAACATACAAAACATAAAGAAAGTATTAGATATGCCTGGAAAATTCAGCAACTATTCAGTATTCTGTGTATTCAGCAATATTTTATACTATTCAGTATTATACTTTAACGGTATTCAGCTGAAAATTCAAACTATTTGGCCAAACACTTAATACTGAAACATGAAAAAAATTGCAAAAGATTCTATTAATCAAAATTTTTTTATTTAAAACAAGTTTAATACTTAAAATTTATCGGTGGTAATTTATGATGAATGAAAAGAAATTTTTTGGCATTTGTTAATAGCAAATGATTCCACTTTTCCTTGTAAATTATACATACTTCTGAAAATAGCCACTCACTATATGCACTACTACCTGAAGCTGGTAAATAAATCTTAGCAAATTATGCTAGGCTTGGCTATTAATTTGCATTAGCTGATTACCACTTGTAAGGGTCTGCTTCCGATTTAGGCAAACAGTTTACATAAATAAATCAATTTTGTTTGCTGTTGAAACTCTCTGTTCAACATCTTCATTTTACTATATCCAAGAAATTAGTTTTGAAGCACAGAAGAAAAGTTGCAACAAGGTGTTTGTCATTTTCATTCAAGTTGAAATGCATTTCAAATGTAGATTGAAGCAAAGATCTTATTGTTGATAAATTCGGTGTTCTCTTTGCTTTCTCTTTCTTTCTCAGGTATTTTAACAATGTGGCATGTGGAATTACCTCAGAAATGCAAGAAATACCGAAAAATCCAGGGTTGGTTATTTTTGTAATTTCTTTGAACATTTTGAAAAGTTTGATACATTGTTTCATTAACTCCCATTGAGCAGGTTAAAGAATCATGATCAGTTAAATACTACAAGACTCACTTTTGACAGTTCACTTTTGCTCTAATAATTACTCTAATAAATAGTATGTTGAATTCCAGTGTGTGCTTACATCTTATATAAATTGGTGGTCTGGCAGTTTAACTTTTGTTGAATGCA